GTTTGGACTAATCATTGTGCTGTTATTTATTCCCATTACATCTTCTCCACTTCCTTATGATTTTGAGTTTTGCCTGCTTTTCTTATCTCATGTTCATTTCTTCCCCATTCGAATAAAGGCCACAACATAGCACTAATGATTATGAATCTATAGTGTCCTCAGAGATGATGAATAAAAGAAGGGACGAATCTGGGGAATAATTAATGAATAAATGGATGGATGAATCAATTAATCAATGGAAATGAATGACACCTCATTCGACTAGAAGTTTCTGTTCCTTTTCAGCTAAGATTTCAATTAGTTGGTTTTGAACTTGTTTCAATCAAACATTGTCATCTGGTGTACCAATTCTCATGCATAACTTAATATTGAATTCTGAGAGCTTAGCCACAGTTTCTATCTTATGCCTTTCCTATCATTGAACGTACGATGTCCTGAAATCTAATTCGCAAAAAAATGGAGCTTTTATTGTTGTAGTGCATGCCGTTGTTGTTTTCTTTGGCATTGTTATGGTGGCTTGGATCCCCAAATCATTGGAAATTCTCTCTTCCTTGACAACTCTGTAAGGATTGCTTCTTTCAATGGAACTGCCTTTGCTTTCTCCACATATGAATAAAGAAAGTTGAGAAGATTTACATTCTTTTACTAGGCCTCCCATGCATGATGAACTAGGATTTCTTTGTTGCGTGGCTCTCAGCTTGTGGTCGCAAATGTGCATTCTTTGGGACGAGCTCATGCGGAAGGCAGCGCACTCCGATTTGGCAAATAGTTAGCCATGGGGTTTCATTTTGGCTCTTTTTCCCTCTTTACTATTCTGTTGTAGAGTTTCGCCAATTTGCACTAGGCATTTAGTGAAATGTTTAAGGGACATTTTTTGAGAAAGATCAATTAGTACTGAAACGATGCCATGAGGTCACTGTTTCTCCTCTGCTTCTCCTCTGTAGTATATGGATCGAGTTCGAAAAAGAATGGCTGCACCCGGAGCTGTTGCTCATCGGGCACCCCAATTAGCGGAAAAGCGTGAATTCGGGGAGAACTTAGGCAATGTCTTGCATAACCCCATCCTCACAATCAGTTCGGGCTTGAGAGAGAAGCAGCGAAAGTGGGCGTGTTCTTCAGCCTACAATTGGGAAGAAGTGACGCTCACGAACAGCCACGATTATAAAATCGCTAACTAACGATATTCTTAGCATGGACATCAACGACACACAGGTATGAAACCCTGTATACTTTGTTTCTCCTTACTAAGGACTGTCCTGGTACAAAGAATGCGTGCAGAGGCAATAGAGGGCGATTACATGACCTTTGGCTAGGCAAATTTTTTACTTCCCGTAATGTTCTTCAGTTTAAGCTTCGGATTTCTTGAGCTTCGAATGCTGCTTGACATTTTTGTCACTCTGATGATCCATAAAAGTTATACTGATGTCTTGGGTTCTCAGAATCGTGTTAATTAGCCTTTTAAGAATTTGAGTCTCAATTTCTTTCCCAGTGCTTACTTGATGAAAAGCAAACAATTTCATAAGATTAAAGTT